CTTAAAAGATATTAATTTTATTTACCCCCTGCAAAGGGAGATCCCAGCGTTCTGAGCTTCTGAATTTGGACAGTGATGATTGACGATGAACATTTTCTGGTTTTGCATTTAACATCTTTCTTATCTGAAACTAGGATGAAAAATAATGAGTTTAAACAAACTATGTATAATAGCTGAATCAGCTAGCAGAACCATTATATTACCCTGCCTTATATTTTGCTAACAGTTTTTAAAGAGTTTTAAATTCAATTCTTAATTTATACACAATTATTAATAAATATAATTTTATAAAACACCTCTCATTGAGTATAAAGGTATATAAATGAAGAATCACTACAGTTTCTTAACTATTCTCTTGCCTGCAGTCTCTTCTTCTAACCTTTCAAATGCAAGCCCCAGACTTCTCTAACACATAAATCTAATTATGGCTCTAATACTTAAAATACAAAAATGGCACCCATTATTTATGTATAAAACTCTTTACAATGTGGGCTCTTTCACATCACCCGCACATCAAAAACTCTATAACCTGACCACAGTGAGTTACTCAACCTTCTTCAAACATGTCATATTATTTTATGTCTCTAGACCTTTGTATATACTGCTCCCTCAATCTAGAATGCCCTTCCCTCTCTTTCTCCCTTGTGAAGTACTACAGGTTCTTCTCAAAATTCTTCTTTTATCCACATAACCATCACCCCTACACCATGGCATTTCTTTCTCTGGGTATTAGTATTTGGTACATTTATATTATATTATTTACATTACACATATTATCCAATATTATAGTTATTTGTCTATGTCTGTCTTCTTCCCCAGACTGTAGAGCTCCTTAAAGAGAAGTCCCTATCTTATTCACCAAAGTGTGAATGAATGCATAGATCACAACCACAAGTTTGAAATCAGTTTTTCAGAACTCAAATATCTAACTTTCACACTAAAATAAAGTTATAAATGATTAAGCTTCAAGTTCAGCCTACGAAATATATAATAAGCACCGTATCAAATACAACAAGTAACAATTCATAAAATTATTTCAATAGGAAAAAAGCCTAAGTCTAGAGGACAGAATAAATTTGAAGAAAGTATATCTCAACACTTTTGTTTCACTAGCACCTCTGAGGGACAAAGTTAATCCTCCTGGGTACCAGTAACTTCTTAATTATTTATTACTATTCTGTATTAAAAGGAACCTCTTTATAATTCTTCATCTGCAAAAGAAAATGTTATCACTAAATCAATCATTTGTCTCCTATTTTAATTAGGAAACAACAGTTGCTTTCTCAGGGGGTAAGGCAAGGGCTTCAGGCTACTTACACCCATAGATCCTTTATAAGTAGGTTATTTAGCCTAACTGGATTCTGTGGCATATTTTACTTTCCAAAAATGGCCACACTAATATTCTTCATTCCACATGCTCTTTTCTTTTCTGATCCCACAATTTTGGGGACCACAAACTCTTCTTACAATTTGACACTGACAATCCTCCAACAGCGGAACTATGTTCCTTCCCCTTGAAACTGGGCAGGCCTGTGACTTCCAAGGCCGGTCATAAAAGGCCATACAGCTTCAGCCTGGCTTGTGCATGCTCTTGCACTCTCCTTCCTTTCCTCCCCTCACTCTCTTACTCTCTCGCTCCCTCCCTCCCTCTCTTTCTCTTTCAGTACACACACCTTGGGAGCCTGAGCCAATAAGTAAGAAACCTGGATACCCAGAAGTCACTAAGCTGGGAAGATCACATAGAGAGGCTAAAAAAGAGAAACATGCACAGATGCACTAAGATGTTTGAGTCTTTCCAGCATAGATATCAAGATGAGTGAGCAAGTCTTTAAGATGATTTCAGGCTCCATGAATGGATTAAAAAAATGTGAGATGCACACACATACACACACACACACAGCCCCCCCCCACACACACACAATGGAATACTATTCAGTCTTCAAAAAGAAAGAAATCCTGCCATTTGCAACAAGGATGAACTTGGAAGATATTATGCTAAGTGAAATAAACCAGACACTGAAGGACAAATGCACGATACTACTTATATGAAGACTCTAAAATAGTCAAACTCATAGAAATAGAGAGTAGAAAGGTGGTTGCTAGAAGCTAGGGGAAGAAAGAAATGGAGAGATATTAATCAAAGGGTACAAAGTTTCAACTATGCAAGATGAATATGTCCTAGAGATCTACCGTACAGCATGGTACTATAGTTAACAATACCGTACTGTGAAATTTGCTAATGGTAGATTTTAAGTGTTAACACAAAAAATAATATTAATAATAATAAATAAAGAGGACAGGAGGAAACTTTTGGAGGGGGTAGACATGTTTATGGCATAGACTGTGGTGATAGCTTCCTGGGTGTATACTTATCTCCAAACTCATCAAATTGAATACTTTAAATATGTACAGCTTTTATATGTCAATCATACCTCAATAAAGTGGTTTTAAAAAAAAGATAAAGGAAACATGGAAGGACATACACGAAACATGTTTAACTGTGATTATCTCTGAGTGGTAAGATTTCTATTTTTGTATTATATAGTCTCTGAATTTTTTTTAATAGTTGAGTTTCTTTAAATTCAAACATCACATAGTTAAGTAAAGGCAAGGGAAAAAAATAAACAACTAAAGCTCCAGAAAAACCTCTGCTACAGCTTCATGGTCAATAAATTGCAAATCTAGATCCCTTACTCCAATATTGTATATAAGGAGCAAACAAATTTCAAGTATAACTTTTCTACTGACAATTTTTCCTATACTCACTTTTTTCTTAATAATTAACTGATAAAAAATAATGTAAGCCTTTTGAAACAATCTTACCTGTTCTTAGACAAACTTTAATCGTGGTCTCAACCATGTACAATTAACAAAGATTCTAAGCTATTAATGATTCTGCAAAACCTCTATTATAATTCTAAGAATCAACACTGTTTAAAATTTTGAAAACAGCTCAAAAATACAATGATAGAATTGTGATTAAATTAACTGTGATACATACATATAATAGAATAAAATGTAGCCATTAAAAATGTTCACCACTGTTTCCCTGGTACTTATGTCTGGCATAGTGTCTAATACATGTTAAGTACCCAGTATATATCTACTGAGCAATGCTTTAAATTGATTTGATTTCAGAAAATTATGTTCACACTATATAGATAAGTAGAAAGAAAAAACAGATTATAAAACAGCATTTTGTGTTTTTTTATTTTTTAATATTTATTTGTTCATTATAGATAGACAAACTAGAAGGATATAAATCAAAGTATTAATTCTAATTGCATCTGGTGGTCATCTTTTTGTTCACTTGAATTTTCTAATATCTCCATAACAAATAGTATTGCTTTAGAAATATTTTTAAATACTTTAAACTCAAAATGTATCAGTGTCTTGTCTCTATATCCATCAAAGCTCTCATCCTTTCAGTAATTTATTTTCACTAGCTACCTTGAGAGAAAAAGCAGTAACTACTAACAAGAATTAAATATGCTAATTTTTCTAAGAACGTCTACATTAAAATGCACTAGTACAACTTTATGTGTATATTATGGTTGAACAAATAAGTGAATATATTGTAGATTGTAGATGATGAGAGACAGGAAAAAAGTTAAAAATAAGGAAAGAGGGAAGGCTAAAATAAGCCTTGTCTATTGGACTGGAATCAAAAGTATGAGTATTCAATTCATGATTTTTTTTATAGATGTACAGATAGGCAGATAGAGAAATAAGTATTCATATGCATGTGTGTGTGTGTGAATTTGTTACTATACATATATTTTTTAGCCCTATTGATTTGTCAACAGAAACAATGACATCTCAACAGCAAGTACATCTGAAGAAATCTGAATGAAGTCTATAGTTCAAAGTATTGTACCAATATTAATATCTTATTTTTTATAATCATACTACAGTTATGTAAGACATTAACATAGGAGAAGCTGAGTGACAACTATACAGGAACTCCGCACAATTTCTGTAACTTTTCCATAAGTCTAAAGTTCCTTATAAATAAAAAGTTTTTAAAAATTACCAGAGCACATCTAAAAATCAGAAAGAGAAATGTACTAACTCAATATTATGAATTTTAATGGTGGAATTTCAAATTGCATGAAGGACACAATAGTCTAAAGCACAGCATTTCACTTAACTGGATTGATTAAACAGAAAAGTAGTAATAATCAATACCGAGGTATTTAAAACTGGGTATGATAGTATTTATCCCGGTAATACAAGATATCCTTTTTTACCTCCCTCATTCACCTCACTTAAACTAAATCCAGAATTTTAAATGGAGAAACCACATCATGCAAATTTAAGTCAGTCAAGGAAAAAAAACAGTACCTAAAGCCATCCTCTATGTGGTCTTCTAAAGTACTCTTGATTCCCTCTTACTACCTTCTATTATGACTACTTCTCCCTCTTTGTTAAGTGCTACAACTGTATAACATAAAAATGTACCAAATTAAAGTTCTCTGTGTATAACTAAGAATGCTTCAGAGAAAAGGGTCTAATAAATTATTATAATGTAAAGTAGGTTATTATTGAATTTAAATCACAAAATTCTAGAGGAGAAATAAAAAGATTATCTTTCTAAAAAAGAATAAATTTTTTAAAACATTTCCTACCTAAGTAGAAATTTTATTTTTCTTGCTGATTTATATAGAAGAAGTAAATAAATGAAAAAAAGGGGTTTAAAAGTATATATTCCAAATAGTAATTTTCAGCACATGCCTTGAGGACAAATGTTCTCCATCTATAGTATTATTAATGAATGAACATGAGACACTATAATATATTCAGTCATCGAAGAAATGCTGAGTTATGGTTTAAATAAAATCTAAAATGGGGCCTGGAAAGTATACTGGTCATCTTACAATGATTTAAACAAGGCTAGTCCCAGAAAGGGTTTCCTGGTTAACCTTCAGTGAATTAGAATACACCAATCTCTCAAAACACTGATTAGTTAAAGTTTTACAGTATTTTCTTTAAATTTTTATTAAAAAGACAAACAGAAAAATACTTTCAATATCAGTAACTCCAAAGATAATGAATAGGTTAAAAGCAAAACTAATGCATACCTCTGATAAGTCAGAAGATGAAGACTTTTTCCTTTTTCCTTCT